ATATGGATTACTGTTTGAGGAGCTTATGTTTGTGTTTGGTTCTATTATTGGATTATTATAGTTTGAAATTAATAATTTATTGTTTGAAAAAATAGAGGTAGTTATAGGATTTTTTCTTCTGCCGCTGCCTTTCATTTTATTTGATTTGTATTTCCTGTTTTTTGTTAATTTGTTTTGTTTTTAAATAAATAAACAAATAAATCAAAAATAAACATGTTATGTTGCGATACTGAAAGAAAGGCAATATGTATATTGTAATTCTTTTTCTCCAAAAGTCTAATTAAAAAACAACTCAGTATAAAGAGCACACCATGCATTTTGTGCCACATAAAATCTTATTAAATTCAGTTTATCTTTCTGCAATCTGAAGAACACCGAAGAACTGCATTTGTATCTCACATTTCTTRTTACAACACCCATCCATTAATCCCTAATTAAAATGCGCTTTTGAGTGCATATGAGAATTGATACAGTATAAGGAAATTACACATTCTGATATTTCATTGTATTTATATTTTCTTYCTCCCCTAATATCCACAGAGGCYATCATGGCATTTTGACTAAATAAAAAAGAAAATCCTTCTGTGAACTTTGCAGTCTAGGCATACTTTATAGTAAAAACACCAATCAAAGTTTAGGTTTATGTGATTATGCAGSCAATTTGATACCTCTTAACTGTTTTTGCATATGCTTTTAGAAAGTGTAACATGGAATGGTGACAACTTCCACACCACTTTCTCCTCTGTGTACAGCCTTTCCAGTTTTGTTAAACTGCATGAAGCCATGTTCCCAAGAAATTATATCTGCCACTCCAAAGAAATGAAAGAGCAGAGTRAGATGACTACACATGGCGCAATATAAGCAGTCTTGCATAACGTGTTGGTTTCTTGCTGCATAGATGACAGTAATAAAATGAGCTGGGGTTAACTGCTATGTGTGCTAACACTTTATCAGCTCCATGCTGGTCCTCCCTCTTACAGCTGTTAGTGTACGCTGCAAGAGAAAAAAAAATCCCTCTGTCACAATACTCTCTTTGTTGGACTGAAGTGCTCCCTCTCTTTTCTTCCATTCATTTATACTGATTTCCACTTCAGGGTTTGATGAAGCACATGTGCTCAGATGTAAACACTGTATGAAACACAACGTGGCAAACACACTTTTGGTAGCTTATGTTCCACTCTTAAAGGGAGATTCAGTTAATATTAATCTAAATATTTAGGTATTTTTATTTTTCATTTCTATTGGAAAACATATCTAGAAAATGTGGTTTTCCTTCTGCAAGAGTTATTGCAGCGAGCAATCTCAGGATTAGACTGTTTTATGCCAGATGTTATCTGACTCACACCTGCAGCCTGTGGTTTACAAGACTGCAGCTCTGATCACTGAGCAATCCTGGTACACAACACTAACAAATATTGTGTTTAAAGGTTTTCTAACATTTTAGGTCCTAATATAGCATCATCAGCTTGCTAACAGGCTGTGTTTGTAGTGTTGACTCAGTGGTTTAATGGGGAATAATTGAGGTGGATTAAAAGGGATTTGGATTTAAAATTGGTTTTAGTGCTGCAGAGGGGTAACCTAACACTCTGTGTCATCCTTGGAGGATGTCTGAAAAAAAAAAGAATAAACCACTAGATTTGTGCGTGTAATCATGACAGTCAGAATCCAAGAATGACAACTCAAAATACTGTATAATCAGCTGTAAAGAGACATTGGGCCTCATGCAAGAACATGTTCATATTCTTATCCTAAATTTCTCTTACTTTTGTTCGTACAAAGGGTTCGTACGAACATGTCACGTCAGATTCAGCAAACTCTTCTATCTTCAGGAAAAGTGTGTAAATGAGCTGCGTTATTTCCACCTGTTCGTATCCAGCTGCTCGTGCACGTGAGAGGAGATTAGCATAATTACCACCCCAAAAGCACCGTATAAGGCTGTGTTTCCTGCCTCAGATAAAGGACGTGTCCATTCATGAAAATGACAGCGAAAACTAAAAAGAAGAACTTTATGAGTTCAGAGATTGAAGTCCGTCTGTCAGAGATCCAGAAAAGAAAATCTATCATTTTTAGCAGGTCAGCTGTGGAATAAAAAGAGCTGCTAAAAGTATAAACAACTGTGTTAAATCAATTTCATTTATTCAGAAGCCACGGCGCTGCGCACCGTGCCCCCCGCCGCATGATTGCAGGTGGTCTCAAATGCGGGTTTGAAATAAGCATTTTAAAATGTTTTCAAAATAAGTCTGGCACTTTGGAGAAAACCCAGGACTCGCTGGAGGGATTATGCATCCCCTCTGGTCTGGGAACGTCTCGGAGTCCCCCAGGATGAGCTGGAAAGTGTCGCTGGGGAGAGCGGGGTCTCTCTGCTTCTGGCCCCGCACCCGATCCGGGATAAGCCGGCCGGACGGACAATTTATATTGTTAGTCTAAATTATTACATTTAAAATTATAACTCTAATTCAAGCAGAATAGCCTATTGTCAACATAATTAGGCCTACAGTCTGCTAATGTTTTATCTTTAGCTCCACTCGGCACTCTCAAAAACTTAAAAAGTAGGTTCTAAAAACAGAGCTGAAAATGAATGTGCCAGGCCATGCATCACGTGAATGTAAGAAGAGCCATAAGCTAGAGTCTAACCAGCAACAGAGCTTCACAGATGAAAAACTCAAACATAATTCTAAGCAAGTAAAATCTAAATCACGTGTGTCAGAGTCAATGATTTTGGTTTATCCCAAATGTACTTCTGAGATTAATGTCTGTGCAGCAGGATGTCTCAGAAACATTTTTGTTCATGATAATCCATCTGAGGAACACGTCGGGTTCAGCTTCTCACCACATCAACATGGAGTTTGGCTGCAATTGAAACACTTCATTTTTGGTCTTAAATACTGAAGGTCACATTGTGGCTAGTAATAACTTCCAGAGATGGTAAATTTATGRACAGTCTGTCTTCTTCCAAAATGTTTTAACCTTTATTGTAGCTCTGCAATGGAGAGGAAATGTCTTCCAAAATTGTGTTAAAGATTATAAAGAWGAACAATCCCACATTATGTTTGCATGTCTGTGAATAATGTTTGACCAATAGTATTTACATTTGTATGGGAACTACCTTTTTCTCTGTTTCAGAAAAAAATGTATTCCTTTTATTCTTTCCTTTTTTAAGGAAATAAATGGAATTCGGCAAATTTCCCTGGCRTATTTACAAAAGTTTAAGCACTTAGTGGTAAAGATGAGCAGTTTATAAATCTTCAGTGGGTCGGCCAGATTAGAAGTCTTTTCTGGTGCCTCATTTTCTTTAAACCAAATAACTTAAATCATGGGTTTTGGTATTATGCTCTTTCATAATTACTTGACTGTTTTTGTGTTTTTCTGTTTTATTTAGTATTTTTGGTTCTTAGTTTATTTTATTATTGTGTTTTATATGTTTAATACTAACTAATGGTTGGCATTGTGGATGTGGCATGCTACATATAAAGTTTGTGTCAGACATTTTCCTTTTGAAATCTTGTGACACACTTCATCATGAATTCACACAACTGAGTTGTGATGCCGTCTCACCCTTTTATTTATTGACACCTTTGTTACAATCTTGCATGATGGTTCACAGYCATAACAACAGTGGGTTGACTTCAACTACCCATACCACCTCTGCCTTGTCAGAGATCACATGAAGATGACCAGAAGGCACCTCAGGCTTCAAGTGAAGTGATTTTTATTTGGACAGGGCTCCTGGTAATGATCTAAATACAGAACTAGGAACAGAAATACCAAATATTCAATGATTTGGACCACTTTGGTGAAACATAGTAGGGTTTAGTTCAACAAAACTGAACATTGAAGTATTTAACCACTGTGTTGGAGAGAAAGATTTTGTTGAGACAACATTGGGAAAACAATGGAAAGGATAATGAAGAATAGAAATGTTTTTCAAGATTTTTCTCACAGTTTATGAAGACAGACATTCATTGAACTTAAAGGGACTTCTTTTATATTCTTTATTTAAATTAACCTACATTGTATTATATTGTCAAAATACAGTAAATAAACTCAATGAACCTTAAGCTATTTAAAATTTCCTCCTTAGTCATAGAGCAGTGATTCCTCAGCATAAATTATTAATATATTGATTTTTAGCAGCTATTTTGACATATTCATCTTATAGCATCAAACCTTTTTTCTAACGTCACTGCAACCTCTTACAGGCTWCTGAAGGTAGGATGTTTTGTACTGCATTCCTCCCTCTACACACTGTATTGTTGTGCCAATATGAAAAAAAGATAGGAGGGGAAGGGTTGTAATGGATGAAACTGCAACAAATGCAGAGCTTTAATTGTTACTTTCAGGATTCATGAACTCTTTGCACAATGAGATGAGACAYTGTATTTAATGCTCAAAACAACACTAACTTACCCACCAATTTTTACGTTTTTGAAGAAGCCTACTAGCTGTAAAGAAAACCGTACAGATTATACTCTTACTTTGTGAAATACAAATCCAAAGAAGTAAACTGAGTTGGCATTTCCTCTACGTATTTTACCTCTGCGTTATGCATGCACAATCACCGTATTGATGCAAAATAGGTGATAACAGCTGTTCTAACTTCAGAAAAGTGAGGAACACTATCTTTTGAACTGATATATTTCTGTCTTTAGTAAAATTTGATCGTTTTCCACATGGAGAAACATTTGAACCATATGCTTATTATTTTGATTTTTGGCAATCCAACCGAGAGATTAAAACATTTCATAGCCGCCTTCTTGTTTTTAATCCATAACCATGTCAGAGCCTATGTGTGCCAGCCAACTGGATAAAAATATGAACCTCATGGTGATTAAATCAGCTGATTCCCGAGGAGACACAAGCTGTAATTCATTTGACCTGGCACTGGGAYTATGTTTTATGGCTTAACTTGCATAATGCTACAAATCCTAATTCTATATGGTACAAATAAAGCAAATCTCATTATACACTTTCTCCTTTTATTTGTTTTTTCCTCTGTCTAGGACCCCAACTATTGGGTTCAGGTCCACAGGCTTGAACATGGAGATGGAGGGATTTTGGACCTCGATGATATGCTGTGTGATGTGGTGGATGACAAAGATAGGGTAAGTTCAACTGTTTTCAACCATGCCAAAAAAAAACAACCTTTCTTACTTTTGTTGCCATAGTGCAAGGTTTTGGCCTCACTTCTCATTCCTGTTTGACTTTTCCTCATCTGCCTTTTAATCGTTTCTGAACTCTGAGTCATGTGCATGAAAGACTGGCATTACTACAGTGGTTTTACTGCCATGTGCTTCTGATTACACCTGTCTGCTACTACGTTAAAGACTGGAACGTCCCAGTCCAGAAAAAAAAAAAAAACTACTGAATAAAACCATGTTCTTTATTTTAATTATTTGAACCTGCTGGCAGTTTACCATAGGCAGAAGGTTTAACGGTGCAGTTTTACCGCCCTGCTTTGATGTGATATTTGAGAAAATGTGGGTACAGTCTATGTCAGTACCCACCCTCACATTCATTCTTCCCATGGGAACATGGCCGACCACACCTGAGTCACCAGCTGTATGGCTTTAATGTTGGGCCTCTCGAGCTTTGCTCTATCTTTACATCTTTGAAGGGAAAATAATAACAGTTGAAAATAATATCTCACTTTGTTGTTACTGCTGGGGACTAATTGGAAACACATTGTGAGAAGCACATTTCCACATAGATTAAAATACTGTATAATTAGGTTTACTACTGCTAATATTTGGTCCAAAATTCACCACAATTTTTCACTCATATGTACAAATACACAGCTTCAGTGCTCAATAATGATTTAATAATGATTTGCTCAGTGATTTACAGAGACAAAATGACGAAAGATTTTGATTTCAGACACCTGCAATGACTCTCTGACTATTTTGAGACACAACTTGTTTTTGGAACATGTTCAACATCTGTTGAGTCACGAGAGCAAGGCGCTGTGACTCACACAAGGAAATTGAAAACCCTCATGGATATTCCGAGACATTTTGGAAACTCCCTTGCAAACACTTGTCAAAATTGGTCACCAACCATCACAGCTTGGTGAGCCTAAAAACAATCAACAGTGTTAACCCTTTTTTATAATTGTAGATATAATATGATACATAGCAGATCAGTTACAGGAATACATAAAATATCAATGAACAGTTGTTGATGAGGGTGCATGGTCTCCATGTTTTCAATAACATGAAGAGTTCCTTGAATGGTAAGGATGGTTACTGAAACACAGTATTGTTTCAGCCCTGGTGCCACATGATTAATTTTGACAGAATCGATAAGCTCCAGCCTTAACAGTGTTGTTAACAGTAACAGAGTAGTGGTATYACAAAGGCAGATACAGTGCATGGTACGTTGTTAAGATTTAGTCTTAAAAGACGATCTATCTTTTCCTCTCTTGCCTCTCACAGTCTGTTTCACCTACACTGTCAGGCTCAGCACTCAGGGGCAGACTTTCATGCATGGCTACCAGGGATTTCCCCGGTGGGCCAATGAATAAGTAGGCTGATGGGCCGCAGTGCGACCGCTGGTGGTTCAGCCTGTGGAGGTGCTGCCCCTCGGCCACATTTTCCCTCATGCTACGTTCACACCGAATGCTTTTTGAGCTGCTGGAGTGGCCAGTTTACATGCAAAGTCTATGGTGGGTGCGCGTCTAGGGGTCTCGTGGCACATTTAGTGCATTTAGCACGGCGCGCAAGGAAGCGGTAGGTGCAGTTGAGCGTTTTKTGTGCATGTGGMACTTTCAAAAATCGGAACTTTTGCTGCTCAACGTGCCGCATCAACCAATRAGAGAGACTCATTTTTCCATGTGACAGTTTCCTGAATGTTGCCCACTAACCTGAAACAGATGGACAGGAGCTCTTTAGCTGAAATTGACCCTCTGTATTTGGTGTTCAGGTAGGAGATATCAGCACCAATGTGGYTCAGCAGCTCGTTAAACTGACCACGGTGTTAAACTGGGCTCGCAGTTCCTGGAGTGGTGAAACTAACTGAACAAACCGCCTCTAAATTATCTGGTGAATTAATTATCTACTGTGTGCAATTTTCGCTTGCTCTTTAGTAAATAAAGCAAAGGCATTTTCTTTATTTTATCTTTATTTCATCCACCGTTAAAGACAGAGTAGAAAAAACAAACAAAAACAAGACGCTCCTCCCTCTTCAGACGTGCGTCTAGTCTCTGTCCCGGTCTGAGTGTAGCGCATCCAACTTGAGGCGTCAGGCGCGTTTTAGATGCTCAAAACGTGTTCGTGTGAACGTAGCATCATGCTTTTGTTTCGCGGAATCACAATGCCTCAGACCCCTTCGCTACCTCTTTTACTTCAGTCTTCTGATCTGCTCAGTTCACGGCAGRGGAGTGGACCTGTAAACACCTTAACAAGCACAATGGGGCCAACCGGCTGCAGAGACCAGAAAAATTAGTCCACCCAGCCAAAGAAAACAAATTATCTGTTTGGCGCTTTTTAATAACTCAGTGATCACAATAAGAAAACTGTTGTCCCTTTTAGTGCCACATATATAAAGCCCTGTTTGTCTTTTACATCCAGCAGAGAGTGTTAATGTAAAAGAATATTTATTTGTGTCTTTCAAATGCAGAAAAAGTTAATTTGCTATTCTGTTTGTTCTAAACTAAAGCATTATTTATAGTTTGTTTTTGGTTTTATTCCCACAGAAAATTATTGACAATAGTACCGTTAAAATACTCTGTCAATAAGTAATATCAATTAGAGAAGTAGTATCAATAAAATCTTAACAATACCCATCCCAACTGAATGGGCACCAGTTTATCTATCTTGAGCTCCTGCATCCTTGTGTGTCCTCCATATCCCTAAAACTAAAGACCGTTTCCTTTTATTTGTCTGGAGGTCCGGGCTGGTCCACATACTGTAGGAGATCAGGCCTTTTCAGTTGTGGCTAAACTGTGGAACCAGCTATCCCTACATATCAAAAGAGATTAGAGTTGCAAGAGAGTTGACATATTTGGTTTATTTAAATGTTTTTACTTTATGTCTCATCATGTTTGTTCGGTATTGCCTGTTTGCTGTTATTGTGTGCAACACTTTGGCCAAAAGCAGTTGCTTTTAAATGTGCTATTTTGGTAAACCTTCATATTTACCTAACTGTACATTTTGAGCTACCTGAAATTTTGATTTGACTAAAAATATTGTATCAAACCTGTCTCTAATTTCCTTTACTGAGTTGTGTGATGATTTATTCATTGATTACATTTAAACATTTATATGTGTATTAACTGAAAAAAAAATCAAGCTTCTAAGTGCATGCACTTTTTTTGTCTGTATCTGCTTTTTTTGGAGCCTCAACTCTTTGTTGTAATCCAAAACAAAACTGTCATTCTAAAGTGGAGTTTTTAGAGTAGTAATATTTCACACAAGTGTGTGTTTTTTTTCTTAGTTTGAACAGGTAATCTTTTTGGCAGACAGGTGTTTTTTTTATTTCTGTGTGTATTTGTTCATGGTGTGGATGCACTTTCATCTGCACACCTGGTAAGAAGTGGCCAGTGCCATGGTTACGCATCAGCTTAGATCACAGTGAAAAGCATCGGTTTTGCAACCTTTTCTCTCGCTTTTCTCTCTCCTCTCAACCCGACTCGCCCTCTCTCCTCACCCACCCTTTGTGGTTTGTTTGGTGGACAAATTACAAAGAAGGAAAAAAAGAGAGGAGTGAATTTTGGTGGTTTTGGTAGAGTAACTGACACCTGCTATATTTTACATACTGTTCTTCTCTACCATCATTTCTTTTGAATATGGGACTATCTGCTCCCTCTGGTGGTTTGGCTTGTTCATCACAATCTAAACAAGTTCAGAAATATGGCAGCGTTCATCGTTTCGTTGCATTTCAGTTGTAAGTGACATAGTTTGTCGATATTTTTTTTCAGTCTTTTGTGCTTATCAAGAGCAGTTTGACTTTAAATGCATTACTATTATAGACCCGTAAATAAACTGGAGATTTATAGTCACACAGCCTTTATATTTGTTAATAATTGCAATAAAAAAGAGAGTGCAGAGTTCATCTGGAAGTAAGCTGGGTCAGCCAGCTTGTGCAACAGCTCTGTGTGTGTGTGTGTGTGTGTGTGTGTGTGTGTGTGTGTGTGTG